GAACGTGCCCGTCTTACAAGCTGCGCCTCCATTGACGAGCCGCGTCAGCGGCTCCAGTTCTCCTCCGTCTATGAGGTGTTCAAAACCACCATGCGGTCCACCTTGTTTCCACTGCCACGATTCAACAGCACCTTCCAGAAGCCGCCGAACTGCCCATGGTGACGTATCAAACACCTGAACCACGAGGCCTTCGTTGGCACGCCAGCACCCGTCCGATAGCACGGTCCATCCCACTCTATCAAGCGACAGTCTCACTGCTGCAAAAGGCCCCTTGACTTGAGCCCAGCTGGTTGCACAACAATGCATGAGGCCGTACCTGGTGATGTGCTGCGGTATCCAGCCTTCCCACGCCGCACGGAGCATGGTTATGACTGGCAACAAAGTTGCCCTGAACATCGGGTCAAGGCCTGGAGATAGCATCAAAGTAAGTGACCGCGACCGGCCAGCAGTGGGCAGGGCGACGGACGTGAAAACCAGAGTCTTCAGCTTGTCAAGCTCTGTGCTAGAACAGCCAGTGACCACGAATCCGTAGCTGACCGACGCCTCCAATCCACTGCGAGCTACCTTGCGCACAGCAAGTCGTCGGTCTTTGCCGCCTTTTAGAAACATAACTCGTCGAATGCGAAGTCCAGCAGCCACCATCTTCTCCTTCCTGACGTTCCTTTGAATGCGCCTGCCACAAGCAAAGCCCACTCCAAGGTTACGTTCAGTGCCAACTGATTGCCTACCTAGCGGCCGCCGCAGTCGTTTTTTTCCAAAGCGTGTCTAGCAGCTGGCACATTGGACATCGCCCGTGACTTGGCAGCAGCGATCTTCAAATCCACACTCTCATGCAAAGTCTGCAAGCGGAAAGCAGCGTCCGAGACCTCTCTCGTAACTCTGACCAGCCCCCCAGCTCTATGGAACATCACGTCGTCCACGACAACTGCCAACTGGACCGTGGGGTGGTGGCGCACTAGCATGTCCAAGGGCTTGATCAGGATAAGCTTCAACAAAGTCGTGGCGAACCCATCGCCAGGTAGCACGGGTTGCCGCGCATCCACCACGCCCGATGCCGCACTTCCCAGCGTGAGACTACGAGGAGAACAATGCAGCTGCAACCACAACTTCAACTGCCAAAGTGGATACCCCGTTTCAATGGCTGCCGTCACCAGCCAATGATGCCGAATCTGTTCGTAGGCTTTGAGGAGTCCAAGGAGAACTGCAACTGCCGTCCATCCACGCTCGACTCCCGCTGCCACTCCTTTCTGGGTAGCCCACTCGCTCATGGCAGTCTGGTGCCATATCGCTCTCTCGCAGGAACGACCTTGCGTGGCCCACCAGAAGGGCCGCGAGTTGCGCGCCTCCCAGGACCTCGCCACATCACGCCGAAGTCTCGCTTGTACTCGGGAAATGGCCATGATAAGAGCGATAGGCCGAACACCACCTGTTCGCTTTTGAATGAAGCAAACCTTCGTAACCAGTTTCGGCCAAGACGCCTCTCTCTCAATGCCTTCTATGATATCCGCCAAGACCTCCAAACCCGCATCGTCGAGCTCCAAAAACTGACGTGGGCTGATAGTGTCGAAGGACATGCCCGTCTGCACAGGGAAGGTGGGGTGGGCCTTCTTTACCTGCTCCAAAGAGGGCCGAGGCGGCCTCTCACCCAAGTCTGCAGGCCAAACAACCCGCTCTTGATGAAGATGACACCTCCACCATCGACTCCACTCCTTCTCCAGGGCCACTACTTCAGCGCCCAGGTCGACAGGCGTGTACGGGCGATCTTCAGCAAGACACTCCGCCGGACTAGACTCGAACCCTGCGGGCACCTTGGTTAGAGCATGACGGCCTCCACCTCCTCCAGCTGCTTGCCGCTCGACCCACTCGTTGAACTCAGCCCTACGTACATACATATCATGATCCGCCACCCTGCAGGCCTCCTGCTTCGTGCGGCTGGCGAGCTGAGACACGACGTCCAGGTTCAGCCGACCAATGCGCAGGCTGCTGAGCGCATGCCACCAGCTGCTCACGAGGGGAAGGTCCCTTGGCGAGACACAGCCAGCGTCCCCAGCCGCAGGCTCCACCTTCACGAGCTTCGGAGGCTTCGCCAGTAGCTTGCGCAGACCTTGCAGCGCTCGAAGACGCGATATGGGGTACTCCATCCTGGAAGCGACCTCCAGCTCGTTGGACACCTGAAAGAACCACGTAGCTTCAGCAGGCACCCTGGGCCAGCGAGCCCCTGCAACTGGAAGGTTCCGAACCCACTTCGGCGAGCAATCCTTTCCTCTACCCCGATACTTCTGCTGATGGTCAGTGATCTGGTACACGTCTAACCGCACAGACTCGGCTCGTCCGAGGAACTGGCTCCAGGCTTCGGCCAAAAACCCTGGGCGACTGAGAAGTGCCCGCACCTGCCCGCCAACACTCAGCCACTGCTCGACGTAAGACTGCCGCAGACAACCTGCGGGCCGCACCCGAGGGAACGCCTTGGGAATTTCGACAACCCTCACACGGGACGGCTCCCTCGCGGCCTGCAGCGTGGGCACTGCTGACCGATGCGGCCAAACAGGTGAACCTGACAGCATCTCGACATCGAGCACCTCGAGCCCGTGAGAGATGATGAACATATCGTCCGCATGGACTGGGCGCATGTGGGTTCCAGCGTGTCAACAAGCTTCCCACGGAACAGCTTCAAGGCCCCGCTAGCCACCAGCTCCTCGCGGGCGCAGTTGAAATCTCCACCAACAACAGAGGGCCTCTTGTACTCTCGCACTCTACGAGCGACATCCTGCAACACCAAATAGTTGAACCTGTTCACACCAACTCCACTCTGCAAGTAAATATCCACAACCACGAACCCACCTGCGAGTAACCCAGACTGGTGCATCACAAAGGCACGTCCTGGGCAAACAATTGGAGACTGCGAGCCGAACATCGGGGCTAGGCCATGTACCATGCGCGACAGCGTGAGCAAACCACCCGAGGCCAGGCCGCCCGCGGCAGACGGGAGCGCAGGCGCCCCTGCGGCTCTCCACCCGCGCCGTCTCAATTCAGCCTCGGCGTCGACCGTGCGCTGGCTTGGCAAGCCAGTCTCCTGGAACAACAGCGTGCCGCAGTCAGCAAGGCTACCACCCAAACACTTGTCAATGTTCGCATAGGTGTTGACGTTCAGCACCCCGATCTTGAAGGCTCTGCGGGTCTTGCTACCCCACGCGCATCCTTTTGCCAATCTTCTCCGCGAACTGCTCCAGGGGCTTGCGCTTGTCTGGGCAGTCACCGCCGAGCTCCTCCATCGCCGCGTCGAAGGTGGCGCTGGAGAAACCGCTGAGGTCCTCAGGCTGAACGGCGTCGTCATGGGACCCTCCGGCTGCCTCAGGCTGGCTGGCTTCCTCAGGACGAGGAGTGGCTGGAGCAGGGACAGGAGGGACCTCTTCGACCCTGGACTGGTCGTCGACTAGCGTCGAGAGAAGCTCCTTGAGGGCAGCACCTGCTTCACCGAGATCCACTCCTTCGATCTTGGTATCCACCAGCTTGGCCAGCTTCGCGTGCTTGTCCACCATGCTGCGGACCTCACTCGGCTGGGGAACGGCTCTTGGGACTGCTCCACCTCCCCGCTGACGTTCCTGCTGCTCCAACTCCTGCTTAGCTTTTGCCACAGCCACGCGCAGCTCCTGCTCCAGCTGCTCCACGTACTTCTTCTGCTTGACCGCCTCAAGGAGGGCCTCGGCAGCCAGTCGGTCCTTAGTTTCTGCATCCTGCTGTGCTTTCCTGAGCTTCTTGCCAGCCTCGTCCGCCTTGACCTGCGCGCTCTTGACCGCCTTGCAATCCGACAGAGAGCCCAACTCTTGCTGCAGCAGGAAACGGGCCTGCCGTAGTGCATGATGATCAGAAGGCGACAGGCTTGCGGGGGCGAAGATAGCGAAGTCCTCGGCGCTGAGTGCGAGGAACCGCTCCCGCACGGCGTCGGTGAGCTTGATGAAGCCAGGCCCGCCACCAGGCCCACCTCCTCCACGCCTGGGGGCTCCGCGCTCAGGTCCACGCTTATGCCATGGATATTCACCTTGTGGCGGCCCGTCACGCCATCGCCCCAAAGGGCAGCGAGCACCGCCACCGCCACCAGGTACGTGATGAGAAGGCCGATACGCCAGACAGCCAGGCTGCCTGCACTGCTCGCGCCAACCCAAATTCTTGTAGCCACATGTAGTGCACCTCCAGCAAGTTGCTGCTCCGCCTGGCTTGCCGCTGCCCAACGCCCGAAGCGCCATGGCCGCCGCGCGCACTGCCAGGCTGCCAAGCAGCCTTGCCTAGCTCGGGGAACAGAGCCATCCCGCTTTAAGAAGAAGAAGAAGAAGAAGAAGAATAAGAAGAAGAAGAATAATAAGAAGAATAATAAGAATAATAAAAAGAATACGAATAAGAATAATAAGAAGGTTGAGGAGGAGGAGGAGGAGGAGGAGGAGCAGGTAGGAGGTGGAGGAGGAGGAGGAGGAGGAAGAGGCGGGGGAGGAGGAGGCGAAGGAGGAGGAGGTCAAGGAGGAGGAGGTCGAGGAGGAGGACGAGGAGGATAACCATACTAAGAATAAACATAAGAAAAATGATAAGAAGAAGCAGGAGGAGGAGGATAATAATAATGATAGTGCGAATAGGAGGAGGAGGAGGAGGAGGAGGAGGAGGAGGAGGAGGAGGAGGGAGGAGAGGAGGAGGAGGAGGAGGAGGAGGAGGAGGAGGAGGAGAGAAGGAGAAGGAGGAGGAGGAGGAGGAGGAGGTAGGAGGAGGAGGAGGAGGAGGAGGTCGAGGAGGAGGAGGAGGAGGTCGAGGAGGAGGAGGATAATAATACAACTAATCAGAATAACAATACTAATAATAATAATAATAAGATTAATAATAACAATAATACGAGTAATAATAATAATAATAATAATACAAATAATACTAATAATACTAATAATAATAATAATAGTAATCGTAATAATAATAATAATACTATTAATAATAATGATAAGAGGAATAATACTAAGAAGAAGGAGGAGGAGGCAGGCTCGAGGCCCGCGCGCGCCCTCGGGCGCCAGCCGCCGCCGGCCAAAATGCGAGCACAGGCCCTGTGCCTCCTCGCCCTCGGGGCGCTGTCGCTCGGGCTTCCAGCTGGCGCAGAGGCCGACGCGGAGGGTGGCGCGGAGGGCGAGGCCGCGGCCGATGCAGGGCTCATGGCGTGGTCGGCTGGCCCGCTGCCCTGCCCTCCTACTCAGAGGAGGAAGGGGGCAATGACCGATGCCGCTTCCCTTGCCTCGTTTTCGCCTCTGGGCCTCCTGTAGGCCAAGCGTCGCCATCGCTGGATTCGCCTCGAAGTGCACCCCGAGAGAGGTCCGGGGAGGGGAGTAGCGGTATCGGTACCTTTGGTTTTGCCACATGCGGTCGGGAACTTCTGCATCGCGTGTCGGTGCGGCGGCCCCGGCGACACGCTATGCCTTGCAGGCGGATGGCGGCCAGCGTGTCGCGCCGCTCCGCGGGGCGGGCAGCTTCGAAAGGCTTATGGACGGTGGCGCTCGGGGATCAGGAAGTGGTCAGCGTGTCGCGCCGAAACGTGGTGGGCCAGACCCGGGGGAGCGACACGCTAGCTAACAGTACCTGACCGCAACCGTCGGCACGAGGGTCAAGACCGGCCCAAGCTCTGGAGGGGTGCCCTCCTGGTCTTGGCGTCGGGCCTCGTCCGAGGCGGGAATTCATACATACCCACCGCCTGGAGGGTCAGTTTTCGGAGCCTCGGCAGGCGGTGGATATGGACATATTCGGACCCCTCGGGGCCGAAATATATCCATATCCACCGCCCGTTGGGGCACCATGACGTCGGTTCTCAGGCGGTGGATATGGATAAATCCCCGCCTCGCAGCCTCTCCACCATGGAGTGCTCTTCGCATGATGTGTCCCAGTGGGGCCTTGGATCTTCGGCAGGGGTGCTCATGTCCTTGTCTTGTGGAGGACGATCAATGAAGAGGAAACATGTTGCCAACTAATCCCCAGATGTCTAACATATGTGTTAAACATGTTTTAGACATGCGAATCACATGTTTAAAACATGTTTCTAACATGTTTTCCGACATTCCAACGCACATTTCAAAGTCGATGATAGGACTGTTCGGGTGTCCATTGTCGTGGCATCCACAATCCTTGTCCCATGCTCTCGAGGCCGTGCTTCGACCGTATAGGGTCCCTCTGTCGTGCTTGGTCGACGCCCCTCGGCCGTCGAGCGGCCTCTCCGAGTGCTCGGGGGGGGAGGAGGGGGGAGGGGATCCCCCACTCCGGGGAGGGGAGGGTGGAGGGGTGAGGACGGGAGGGAGGGAGTTGGGAAGCAGCGGGGAGGAGGGGAGAGGAGGGGAGGGAGGGAGTTGTGAAGGAGCGGGGAGGAGGGGAGAGGAGGGGAGGGAGGGAGTTGGGAAGGAGCGGGGAGGAGGGGGGAGGAGGGGAGGGAGGGAGTTGGGAGGAGTGCGGGGGAGGGGAAAAGGGAGGGAGGGAGTTGCAGGGGAGTTGGGAGGAGTGGGGGAGGAGAGGTGCTGCTCTCCAGCCTCCCGTCGTTTATCGCTTTTGTTGTTTCTTGTTTTTGTGCCGAAGCGCGGGGCCCCCAGAGGTCTCGACCCCATCCCCGGGACCGGGTCTCGACCCCACACGTGTCGTGACTTTTGCACCACGCGAGGAGGTCTTGGTCCTGCCCGCACTAAACCTTCGGGCCTTCGGGCGTCCCTGGCCTCGGACCCGCCGTGCTTTGGTGGTGGACCTTCCGACCTAAACTTGTGTCGGACATGTCCCTTTCGCAAGAGTATGGGGGGCGGCAAAGTAGCGGGACATCGGCATCAAAGGAGCTTGCAGAGTAGGACGCAAATTTTCGCCCTACCCGCGAACTCGCCCAAATTGCGGCGGATCCGAAGTCAGGGCAAGCCCCTCGGGCGTGAGCGAGCCGACCACGCCGCTTCCCACCCGCCCCGCCGCCACCTCCGCCTCCGCCGCCTCCGCCGCCGCCGCCGCGGCAGCCGGCGGCTGCCCCCGAAGGCGGGGGGGAGTCGAGGCTGGACCCCGACGAGGAGGCGAAGCTGGAGAGGAGCAGCCATTGCGAGAACTCCCACTCAGACAAGTCGACTGAGGAGATCTGCACCGGTTCGCTCGGCATTGGCATTCGAGCGTGCCGGTGCAATCCCCAGTCGGTTTCGTTGGTCGACGTGCGCTTCGCCAGGTACGTTCGCTTGTGTGTGGACTTCGGCAGGCTACCCCGCTGGGGTGCACTCGGCATGCGGTGCTGTGCGCACGTGGAGTGCCCCAGGGCAGCTTTCACGGAAGGGCGCTTTGCTAGAGGGGTTGCTGTCCACCCCCGGCTGCCACGGCCCAGACATCTGACGTCTGCCACGGCCCACGACGCAGGTGTTTCATTTCTTTTTTTTGGCTTCTGGGGCCCTCGCCGGGCCCCGTGACCGTCAGAGAGCGACTCGGGGTGAATCACCGACCCTGGGAAGAGGGTCGGGACTTTCGGGGACCCCGTGCTGAAGAATCAGGACATCGGATGTCTGGGCGGGTTAGTCACCACCTCCAGGGGGGTCACCGCCTCATGCAGGTCGAGGGCTTTGGGGGAGGGGGAGGAGGAGGAGGAGGAGGAGGAGGAGGAGGAGGAGGAGGAGGAGGAGGAGGAGGAGGGGTCGAAAAACTATCGAAGAGGTTTTGGGCGTCTTGCGCGGCGCCTCTGGGAGTCCTGGGATGCTTTTAGGGCCCAGGGAGATCCGTCTCCTAGAGGAGTTGGCTACTCTTTCAGTTGTGACCCCCCTCGGCGTTGCCTGGGAGGAGGCGCCTGGTGGACTCGGGGGCCCGCTCCGGGACGGCCGTGAAGCAGGGCGCGTGGATCTACGGCGACTACAGGGTCCGAAGGCCAAACAACAGCAAGAACTTCAACTGTCGGAAACGTTCACCTTCGGCTCGGCTGGTTCCCCTCCTCGTCCTCGCGTCTTGCCTTCAGTGATGGGCCCTCTTAGACCGCGGAGGGTGCACCCTCACTGGCGGTGCAGGTTCGTTTTCACTGAAGTGCACCCTCGCTGGTGGTACCTCCACTGGGCGGCTGCAAAAACATGTCGCCGCGCCGTTTGTTCCGACGCGCGGCCTTGCATCTTGGGGAGGGCGCCGCGGGTACCAGGGCAAACGCCGCCTCGGGCGCTGTGGGTTTGCCGTGGCGTTTGCCGCCCCATCGCTGGCGTCATCTACTTGGGCGCGGGGCGCAGGCCTTGCCGTGGGTTTGCCGTGGTGTCGGCGTCGTCCACTTGGGCGCGTCGATCACAAACGACGCGGCGACACATGAGCTTTCGGAGGTCCGCGCGGATTTCATAGGTCTGCGCTGGACCTCCCCTGGCGGCGCCCCCCCGCGCCGCCCCTGGCGCGCTCCGTGCGCCAGGGGAGGGGGGTCCAGCTCCGACCCAAGAGATCCGCGCGACAGTGCCAGGGCCTCAAGGAAACGGCCCATCGTCATTGTTACGGTCGGACTGAAGTATAAGATCGAGGTCGGCTCGGGGAAGGTACCTTAGTGTTCTTAGTGTTTTTTTTCCGCATGTTTGTGTGCATCATGGGGAAGGTGATCTTATACTTTGGGGTCTTTTGGCCAGCGGAGGGTCTCATGCTCTTCAAGGATGTTATTCTGCCTTTGGCCCGGCTGTATGGACGTCATAGCCACGTCGTCGAACGTCGTGACTTTCGAAAGCTGAAAGCCCCAAACAGTGCTTGCACTTCAAGGAACTGGATGGGTCCGGCGAGCATTTTCCACGTTGCCGCCTCGTGGCCGCTTCGTGGCCGCTTTGTGGCTGCCTCGTGCGCCTGGGTGCGCCCTGCGAGTTTTCGCTTGCCGCCCATGACGTGGCCGCCTCGTGGCCGCCTCGTGCGCTGGGTGGGTTCGGCGAGGCTTCGCCACGTTGCCGCCGCGTGGCCGCCTCGCGCGTTCTCGCGAGGTCTCCCCACGTGGCCGCCCGTGGCCACCTCGTGGCCGCCTCGTGTGTAGCGTGGGTCCGGCGAGGTTTCGCCGCGCATCCGCCCGTCGCCGCTTGGCTGCCGCCTCTGCCTTGCACCACTCAAATTCTTCTTCCAATGAAGAATTAGGAGAAGAGTTAGGATCCCCCCCCCTCCCCCGGCTTCATCGGTCCACCTTTTCGCAGTACAATTTGCGTATGGTTCTGCCCCATCCTCCGTCCTAAGTGTCAACTCGCACCAACCCAGCCGAGCTGGTATCGACCCCCCCCGCCATCCTCTGCAACAAATACAATGTGCGCGCACTCGTTTTACACAAATCCGCAGATTTCAGAATCCCTTTGCAACAAATCGGACGAAGTGCACACGCGCGCGTCGTCGCGCGCGCATGCCGAAATCCGGCAAGAACCTTCGGTTTCGTAGCGATTTCAAAACCGAATGTCCAGAACACATTCAAAAACACAAGGTTTCGCAACATCAGTTTCCCAAAGAAGCTTACGCGCGCTCTTGCGAATTCTTGAGGAGACCAGAGGTTTTCAACATCTTCAGGGAATTCTGCCAAACGGGCCTCTGGCGCCGCATGCCGACATCATTCGCACGCCCTTGCGCGCGTGCTGGGGGGCACGATCCGTGTCAAATCAAACCATGCGGGCCACTCGCGCGTCGGCCGCGCGCGCATGTCGAACCTTTTTCAAAACCTTCATCACCGACGCGAGGACGCCGTCATCGTCGTCGGCGTGATCAGCATCGGCGCCCGCACTGGCCGCGCCTTCGTCGGTGCGAACATCGTCACCAGCATCGCCACTATCATCATCGCCTCCACCGTTGTCGGCGTTGCCATGATACGCGCCCGCCCAAGTCGCCGACTCGCAGTGAAGTGCCCGCAGCGATCATCGCCACCGCGGCCGCGTCGGCAGCACCAAACTAGCTGGCCGCTGCGCGCGCGTGCTCGGGATGGCGCGGCCGCAGGGATGCACCAACTAGCGCCAAGCATGCATCGCAATCGCCACCGCATGGGCATGGGTTTTGCACACCAAGTTGCGGGTGGGTGAGTGGGATGTTTGCAAGAGCATGGGATGTGTCAGTTCATGGGTAAACATTAACTGCATCACATAGCTTTCACCACGTAGTTTGCACGACGTGGCTCACACATCCACAGTGCAGTGACTTGCTGTTTGGGGCCACGCTGGCTAACATCTGTTTCTTGCTATTCTTCTTCTTATTCTTCTTCTTCTTATTCTAGAGGTGGCCGATGGCGCCCGCGACGTGGCGGCGTGTGCGAAGGCCTGCGAGGCGGACGAGGGCTGCCACCACTGGAACCTGCACATCGGCACCAGGAAGTCAAGGGGCAACGCTCGGGGAGGATTAGGCTCAGAGGGGGCACGCATCGACCCCCGATCGTCCATCGATCACCGACGATGGCTCGATCGCCCGCCCCGCCCAGGAGCGTGCGGTTTCGCCGAGGAGGAGGAGGAGGAGGAGGAGGAGGAGGAGGAGGAGGAGGAGGCTTATCGCCGACCTGTCGGCGATATACCGGCGCTTCAAGCTCGATGTGCCCGCCCCTGTGCCGGTCCCCCTCGTATCGTTCCCCCTCGAGGAAATGTGAGCTGAAGAAGTTCACTGGCAGCTTCGACGGCGATAAGGTTGGGGCCCGTGCCCAGAGCTCCAGCGTATCGAGAATGAAGGTGTTTGAGTTGTTGTTATTTTCGGCCTGCCAGGACCCTCGCCAGGCCCCGCGACCATCAAGAGCGACTCGGGATGAGAAACGGGTCACAGGCAATGGGTCGAGACCTCCGTGGGACGACGTTGTGACAACTTCCTGAGGTCGGGGGTCTGGGCTTCGATCCGATCGATCCGCTCCGATACCGATTCCGGCCATCCCGATCCGACTGGGTTCTGCTGTTCTCGGCGGTCTGGCGCGGTTCGATGCGCTCGCAGCGGCCCTGCGCGGCCGGTCCGATCCGACTCCGAGTATTTCTGGTGGGGGCGTTCGTGAAGGACTCTGGCCGGGTGGCTTCAGATCCTGGAGGATCTCTTCTTTGGTGGGGGCGGCGGTGATGTCCGCGCCCAAGCCTCCGTGGGCGTTCCCCCGGCTTTCAGATCCTGGACTCCTTATCCAAAGGTTCCTTACTCCGAACTTCTTATTCATCAGCTGGAGTGTGAAAAATGTGAAAACGCGGCGCGGCCACCCCCCCCAGCACCACCCCCGCGCCCCAGCGGGGAAGGGAACGAACCCAGACCCCCCCTGGCACCCCAGCGGACGCGCCGCGGCCAACCCCCCCTGGCACTCCAAGGGGGGGCGATTATCAAGCGATCCAGAGTACCCAGTGCCCTCCTCTCGGGCCAGACGAAAGGGGGGGATTGGGTAGGGGGGTGTTATGAAATCTGCTGCATGCAGCTGGTTTCGGCCCCACCGAGGGGCCCAGTCCTCGATACATAGCCGCCTCCGGCGCCAGGAGGCGCCGGGAAAATCAGCTACGTGAGCTGATTCTCAAACCCCCCCTTTGCTATCCCCCCCTTTCGCCCGACCCGATCCTCGTGCTCTGCCCCGATGCCTCGTCGTTCCGACGCGCGTGCCGAGCCTGCCAGGGCGACTGGGTCTCCGGGGATGCCTCGCGTGCGGGGCGCGCCGAGCTGTGACGCGGTGGGCCGCGGGCGCGCGGCGCCGCGCCGCACAGACTCCGCGTGTCGGCGCTGGGGTGGTCCGCGGCGGCCTGCCCCGAGAGGGAGGTGGTGCGTGCCCTCCTCCTCGCCTTCGCCCTCGTCCTCGTCCTGCTGCGACCTGCCTCGCTGCTCTCCCGCTCGTTCGGTCGAGGCCGTGCGTCGGAGGGCGCCGAGCGGCACCGTCGCTATAAGGCCCCCTGGTCGTGGGGCACCGGGGCTTGTGACTGAGGAGGTTGCCCCAAGTCATGTCTCAAGTCCTTCGACCAGTGAGCCTTGGTCGCAGCGGAGCTCCACCACCACCCCCCTCTGCCTTCCCTCTTCCCTCTCCTCCTGCTCCTGTCTCTGTCTCTGTCTCTGCCTCTGTCTCTGTCTCTGTCTCCGTCTCTGTTCGTCTGTCTGTGTCTGCCTGTCTGTCTGCCTGTCTGCCTGTCTGTCTGTCTGCCTGCCTGTCTGTCTCTCTCTCTCTCTCTCTACATATATAGGCATGTCACACTCTTCTCTCTCTTTCTCTCTCACCCTCTCTATCTCTCTACATATACAGGCATGTCGCATTCATCTCTCTCTTTCTCTCTCACCCTCATTTTCACTCATCCTCCTCGTGAGGCTGAACTCCCTGCGGCACAGGGATGCACCTTTCTTCCATACCTTCCATTCGCCGCGGCCGCCACGGGCAAGGGCTGCCGCGCGACAACTACGCCTTCACCCCTCGCTCCGCCGCCGCGGGGCCAGCGCGCCATGCAGGGCTTCGTGCAATGCGCCCGTGCGCGCATCGGGGACTACCTTGTCATCGGTGTTCGGCACTGGCCCTCTCTTGAGAGCACCTGTCTTCGGCCTTCCTGCTGCTCTACGCCACGGGCCCTGCGGAGCCCTGCGCGACGTCCGAGAGGACGTGCGCCTGGACCAACCCCTGGCGGCCCGGCGCCCTGCCAGCGCGCCAGGGCCACCGTGGCCCTCGATTCTGCGACGGAGCAGCGCCGTCCCCAGGTTCACCACCCACCAAACCACCCCAACCCAACCCGAAGACCTCAATTTGCCCTCCATTTCCAGTGTGGGGGGGTCCGGGAACATCGAAAAAACATATATGGAGCCCATACCCCCCCCAACCCGAAATTCGGGTCTTCGGGTTGGGTTGGGGTGGTCTGGCAGGTAGTCACAGGTCCGCCGTGGCCCTCCGTGATCAGCGGAGTGCCTTTATCAACCATCTCACCGCTGCGGCCGCGCTCCGAGCCGTGCGCCGCCACCCGCGCGACTGGCCGCCCTCGAGCACCAGCACCGGGTGCAATGCGGGGCCCGATCGCCTCGCATCTGGCGCATGGAGGTCCGAGGCCCGCGGCGACGACGAGCGTGGGGACTACGAGGAGTACGCCCACCCCCCCTCGTTCGATTGCCCTCGCCATGCCAAACATTGCACTGCCGTGGCCGCGACGGCTCCGAGCCGTGCGCCGCCGCCCACGCGACGGGCGCCTTCGAGCACCAATGCCAGGGGGGGGGGTTCGACCGCTTCGCATCCGGCACATGGGGTGTGCGATGCCGGAGACGACCATGAGCGTGGGGACTACGAGGGCGACGCCCACCTCCTCTCACCCGACCGCCTTCGCCGAACTAGCCATCCCACCGCTGCGGCCGCGACGGCCGCCCCAGAGCGCATGGCAGGTGGCACATGGGCACATGGGGCTTCGGCGGCCGCCGACGACGACGAGCGCGAGGAATGCAAGGGGGGGGGGGGGGCGTCCGCCTCCCTCGCCCGACGGCCCTCGCCACCCCAGCATGCGAGGCCACGCGCCCTCCGCAGCTGCTCCCGGCGACGCGCCACGCGCGCCGGTGACGCGCCTCGCGACCGCCCGACTCCTTGCGGGCCCCCAGCCGTGGGCCGCGGGTGACGCCCCGAGGCGTCGCGTTGCGCTCGGCTGCCCTCTGGTGCAGCATGCCCGTCGGGGCCGACCGGCGGGCCGAGCCCCTGGACTGCCGCCGCCATAGGAGGAAGACGAGGAGGTCGTCGAGCCCACCGTCTCTCTCTCCCCCCCCCACATGTGCACACAGACATGCGACGTCTTAATTTTTTCAGGACGGCGTCCCTGGAAGTCCCGACCCTTTCCCCAGGACCGGTTGTTCGTCCTGAGTCGTTTCTTGACGGTCCCGAGGCCCGGCGAGGACCCGCCGGGGGCCGAGAACAGCCCCCATCACCCCCCCGTCTTGATTTTTCTTGTACGACGCGATCCTGTCTGGGCATACGCGGGCGCGCAGACCCCCCGCCATCCCTTCTCCTCCTCCTCCTCCTTCTCCTCCTCCTCCCTCCTCCTCCTCCTGCTCCTCCTCCCTCCTCCTTCTCCCGCCTCCTTTTCCTCCTCCTCCTCCTCCTCCTCCTCCTCCTCCTCCCTCCTCCTTCTCCCGCCTCCTCTCTTCCTCCTCCTCCTCCTTCTCCTCCTCGCTGTTGCCTGCCGCCCGCGGCTGCTCGGGATGCCCGCGCGGCCTTGGCCGGGCCGGCTCCGGCCGTGGCGGAGCAGCCTCGTGCCCGGCGGGGCGGGCGGCGACGAGGCCGCATGCCACCAGTCCTTCGCCGGCCTCCCCTCGCGCGCTTGGCGCGCGTGCTCACGCGTATGCCTAAACAAGAAAGCATCGTGAAAACATCCGGACGGAAGGTTTTTGGCTAGTTTTTTTTTTGTTCGGCCCCAGGGGGGCCCTCGCCGGGCCACGGGACCGTCAAGAAACGACTCAGGACGCAAAACGGGTCCCGGGGAAAGGGTCGGGATTTCCAGGGACGCCGTCCTGAAAAATATCAGGACGTCGCACGTCTGGGTATACGCTTCTGCCACGGCCGTGGCCCAGGTCGGCCAACGGCCGGTGTGCCAGTCTCAGGCCGACTGGTGTCCGAGGAACCGCTGACGGGGGGGGACTGCGCTGATGGCGGCATCCGCCCTCCCCACAGCGCTGGTCTCACAGTGCCAGACTCACAGACCACCCATTAGTGCTGGAACTGCTGCCGCGGGCATCAGCCAGAGTTCCAACCCCACAGTTGGAAGTATGCCAAGGAGCACCCTGCTTGCATCCAGAGTGCCCTGGGTTGCGTGGGTTTCGATGGCTTTGCTATGGAGAGCGCCACGTTCCCGCACCAACAAAACGAATGGACGCCCTGGCGCCTCAGGGTTGGGCTTCTTGTGAAGGGTTTCTCGTGGTCGAACCCCTGCTGTATCAGCGGCCTCTGCGGCACGGTCGTTGATGTGACTGGCGCCGCTGGTCAGTATCGTTTATCCGAGCCCCATCCCCATCCCCCCCCATCCCCTTCGAGACCCCCACCAAATGATTCCCCAGTTGGGGATACACCCCTCGAAACCCAAAGGGAACGACCTATGCATGTCTGTGTGTATGCATGCATGCAAGCATGTATGTCTGTATGCCTGTATGTATGTATGTCTGTATGTCTGTATGTCTATCTGTCTGTCTGTCTGTCTGCCTGTCTGTCTGTATGTATGTATGTAGGTAGTTAGGTAGGTCGGTAGGCATGTATGTATGTATGTAGGTGTGTACGTACGTACGTACGTATGTATGTATGTATGTATGTATGTATGCATGTATGTAGGTAGGTAGGTAGGTAGGTAGGTAGGTAGGTAGGTAGGTAGGTAGGTAGGTAGGTAGGTAGGTGTATGTATGTGTGTATGTATGTATGTATGTATGTATGTATGTATGTATGTATGTATGTATGCATGCATGTATGTATGCATGTATGTATGTATGCATGCATGCATGCATGCATGCATGCATGCATGCATGCACGTAGGTAGGTAGGTAGGTAGGTAGGTCGGTAGGTAGGTAGGTAGGTAGGTAGGTAGGTAGGTAGGTAGGTAGGTAGGTAGGTAGGTAGGTATGATGTTTTTTTTTTCATGTGGACGCTCCCGTTGGCTCAAGCTCGCTTCGCTCGTGCGGTCCGCATGCTACAGTTCCTCGGCGCTGCTTCCCCCGTGGCTGCTGCGCTCGGCCGCCTGACATCGTAGGTGTCGCCAGGGGTCTTCGAGGAGTTCGCGGATTGTGCTCTCCAGCAGGCCGTCTTCGGCAGCGCTCACACCATCGCGGTGGTCTGCTTTGTGACTGGAGTGGTGGTCGGCTGCTGTTCCTGTGGGTGCTGCTATGGAGCCTGGCAAGCGTCTCGACTCCTCCTTTCAGACCTCGGGCTCGCGCGTGCTGGTGAAGTACGCTGGGGAGCGCGAGCGGCACGAGAGGCCGCTGGTCCGACCGGCGAGCAAGAAGATGTACGCCAAGTGCGCTGGAGTGAGCCTCCTCGAGCACTACCTCACGGATTTCGGGGGGATCGTGACTCCAGACATGGACGTCTATCCAGAGGCTCGGGTGACGGGCCCGTTTTCGGGCTTGCTGTCGATGCGGACGAGCGGGTCGCAGATAGCCGAGTCTCGGGGGGGAATCGCGTCCTACCTCTCTCACGTGCCTGGCTTCGACGGCCTGCCGACCTTCGCGGAGATGAGTGAGATCCTCGGAGAATGCGAGGCCGAGGAGGGAGTCAATAGGGGCGGCCGCCCAGATGACGGGGGGGCTCAGCTGGCCGCGGCTGGCTCCACCGGAGGAGCTGGGCCGCTCCCGCGCCCTGGGCGCGGCGCCTGGCGAGTGCTGGCTTCGTCTTGTGGAGGTGTTCGCGGCGACGCTGGCGGGGTCACGTGGGATCACCACGTGATGGCGGAGAGCTTGGGGCTGGGCCGCATCGGCGACGAGGTGGTCGCCCTCAAGTGCGACGTGGAGGAGGACGACGGCTTCGGGGACCTGGAGGCGCTCGAGGGTCCTGGGGCCGACCGTGGCACCGCCACGCCCACGGAGCTCGAGGCCCGCGTGCTGAACGTGACGCGCGATGGCAATGGGGTCCGCTACCAAGACTTCAGGGACGGTGTCAGCCAGCTCTCTTGCCCGGACTGGGGCGGATGGCCGCTCTCGGGTCCGAGCGCTGTGCAGTGGTGCTGCAACTACATCCTGCA